GATATCTTAAGCCAAATAAAGAGCATTCATAAATGTACCTCTTTTCCCTCGAGAAAAACTTAAAAGCAGTTATGACCACTCCATATCAAAAGTACTGATTTAAAGGAGAAGACTAAACAACTGCTAAACACGGGGCGAAAAAAGCTAAATCCAAATGGGATCCTAACCTGGAAACCACTTTACAAAGAGGCCAGTATGGGGAAAAACGGTAAGATCCAAGTCAATTTTGTATTTTAAATGATGGCACTGCACCAAGGCACTTTTGAAAACTGTTCTCTAGTTGTGTAAGTAGGAGTAAGCTGGGTGAAGGGTGTATGTCAACTTATAAATTGAAAATTATTTAAAAACAAAATTTTTAAAGTAAAAAAACTCATCTACCAATACATAAATACATGAATTAAAACTAGCTGTCATATTTTCTAACAAGAAAACAACTTACACTCTCCAAAGTTAACCCTCACCCCCAAGAAAAGACTACCACTACGGTCAACACAGAACAGTTTCACATTTGTCAATCAGGTATCTGCCAAAGTAAGGTAAGCAAAATAAATGAGAACTTTTTATAAATTTAGTTACAGAACCTAAAGCAAAACAAGTAAGGAATCGGACGGTATTTCAACCAACAGCAAATGTTGCAGCGTGTCCCAGCAAGCTGAGAAATAATGGAATATACCAAGTTTTATGACCATTATCAGTAAACTGCCAAGTTCCAAACAGTCCTGCTTAAGGTTATAAACTATATCGAATCTACTTGAGTGGGAGGAGGGAACAACATACTTTTAAAAACTGAATACAAAAAAATCTAAGGAAAAATGAAAGGATACCTGTAAATTAGTTGAGTCCTTTATACCAAATTTCTTGTTTATAAGATTTCAATACTCAGCATTTTTTTTTCCCAACGCAAGCAAAGTATATTATTAGAGTCTACCTGAGAGAAGGGGTGGAGGCAAGTCACTGGCCCAGGTCAAGTCCTGGCAGCCTGCTTTTGGAGGACCATGATCTATGAGTGGTTTTAACATTTTTAAAAGGGTTTTTAAAAGGTGACAAAGACCTACTGGTGGCAAAACCTTCTATGTTTACTATCTGGTCTTTTCACAGCAAAGGTGAAAATCCCTGTTTAAGATAATACATTTGAAACCAACATGGACTAAAATGTCAATACTTTTCAATCAACAATTACATTATTTTGTGTATTGTAACCAAAATTGAACCAGAAAAGTTTCTGAATTTTGAAATGAGTAGTTTTGTCCATCACTACCAATTCTGGAGACAGTCTCAGGATCATTATCTTTTTTTGAAATTTTACCAATCCTAAACGCTAATATCACCTACTCAGGGGCATTCTGTTGCAGCATAAAATGAAAAGAAACTCATGATTAACAGCTATATAATAAACCACGTCCTTAGTAATTTTCTCCTAACTTAATATTGATCAAAGCTAAATGTTCCTGGATATGTAAACTGACAGCTTAAACCTTTCAATTAACTGGGCCCTCCCTGGTGCAACGGATTAAGGCACAGCACTGCAAGCGAGCCACAACCGTTTCAGCACATGTTGGATCCCCAATCCCGAGGTGATCCACATGGCGTGGCAGACCTCTCCTGTCTTGCCAGCTGCTCCCCTCAGCAGTGTACTTCATGACTATGCCTGTTCTGCTCCCCACTCGGTCTCTGGTGAACCCTCTCACTGCTCCTGCACCTCTGGCCTGTATCCCAATTCTATATGCATAAATAAATAAATCTTAAAAAAAAAAAAAACCCTTTCAATTAATATAGGAAATTTGTCCTTGTCTCAAAGATGTTTCGATTTTGCAAATTATCTGAAAACTATGGATGAACCTCCCACTTCAGGAAATGCAAGGTATACCCCTTCTGTTTCAAAATATCTTTATACCACAGGGCTCAGATAAATGCCCTTTTGTACTATAATAACATAAAAGACATCATTATCTCTTAAGTCCTGAAAATCAGCTTGCTGTAGATAATAAACTGCAAGTGAACACTAAGAAAGCATATTTATAGGTGCCCCAAGAATCCTCTCAGAAGAGTTTTAATTTTAAAAGTGATTTGGTTATCTCCTTACTTCCAAAACATGAATGACCCAGATTACAAGTTACAAGGGGTTTTGGATTTCGTTCAGTGAAGGGGAATTCAGCCTTTATCTAGACTGGTAGTGCCCAGACAGATGGCCAACCACTTTACCATTCATAAGCCTTGGGTTTACTGACATATAAGGAAAGGATTAGTCTGAAAGTTTCTTAGGTCTCCTCACCCATCTTTAGAATCCTGATCTGTAACTAAGATTTTAAAAACCACTTATAACCTTGCCTCATTTCAAATAGACTACAGCAGCTCAGACCTCACCTATAAATGCAATACAACCAATATACAGAGCGTACACACAAGGAAAACTAGAGCAAAGAGGACAGGAACAAAGGCATTTTCAGAAATTGGCTTCAACATACCCCAATAATGTCAGCCTTTAAGTCGAATGCAAACATTTTTGAAGTCAGACTATGAAGAGAAACCATATCTTTAAAGCTATCTTCTCCCCAAATCAGACCATATTTCAATCAACCATTCCCTGAAAGAAGTTTTTAAATACCTTGTTTTAAATCACCCAGAAAGGCAAATGCAGTAAGCATACTTCACATGAAAAGAAAAATGGAAGGGGCTTACAAAGTAAATTTTTTAAAAGATTTATTTATTTATGCTTACAGAACTGGGGTACGAGCCAGAGGTGTGGTGGATGAGAGGATTCACCAGAGACAGAGTGGGGAGCAGTGGGCAAGATAGGAGAGGTCTGCTGCGCCATGTGGGTCACTCCCTGGTCCAGGTTCAACTCCATAATGCGGTGCTTTAACCCACTGCCCCACCAGGGAGAGCCCCTGAAAGTAAATTTTTATCAAGAAATCACTTTCCCAAAAGTGTCAAGTTCAACATTGAGTTTACTTCTTGAACACTGAGAGGACAAATGGAAGAAAAAGACAAGCATCCACTCTTCCTTCCTATCTGATGCCAGAGAAAAGACTGCCAGCCCATGCAGAGAAAAGACCTGGGTACCCAGGTGAGCAGACCCTCCATAGTCTCAGGACCCGGATCCGGAAGTTTAAGTGCAATAAAAGGAGGCCTGCAATAGCCTAAAGCCGCCTTCAGACTTTCTCCTTAACAAAGTCAATTTTCGCTTTCACAGACTTTCTCCTTAGTAAGTATGAATTTCAGTTTGCAAGAGACAACAAGTACCTCATTAATTCCTCTAAGTTTTTGAGGCCCCAAATGAATATGGGAACAAAACAAGCTGCTTAAAAATGGTATCTGCCTTCCAAGATAATTAGAGGATTACAAAAGATGCCAGGTATTACTTTAAACACAACATCACCAAAAGGTTTAATGTCAAGATTTTATTTCCTTTATGCAGAATAAATCATAACCAACAGTTAATTCATTGGTTGCATCACTAAGCTCGCAGGGAAAAAAGTAAATGCTTAAAACAATCTGCAATAGGCAAAGTCTCCACCACAAACTTTCATGTTACTGTAACAGAACTAAGCAAGGAGCGACCAGACACTGCATTTGCCTCACAAGCCCTCATGTATCCCACTGCAAGTCCAAGGTCTCAAGGAGTGAGGCACTTGAGGCCCATGTTTCCACCAGGGAATCACTGCTTCCAAAACTCCCTTCTGGGGCCATGCTATGATTTCAGTAGTTTAATTTCCTCAACAACTGACACAGTTGTTCTAGAAAACAAGCCACCTCATCTAGAGAACTCCCATTGCACAACTGCAGAGAGAGGAAGTGCCAAGTACTGGGAGAAGCAGACCCCAGTAGCTGATGAGAGCTCTCCTCTGGCGCTTCCAAACTCAAACAGCACCTTTCTCAGAGTTCTTCAATTCCTAGTGTTTTTCTTTATCGTTTAGAAGCTAGATTACTCCAGGATCAGCTCTCCCTACCATTTCAGGCCTGCTCTGACCCAAGTCTTTCCCAGGACATTTAAGCTCCCGTCTGGCACCCAGCATCTGGCACCTCCCACCCCCAGCTGCAGTGAGATGAATGAAAGCTACTGGAAAACTGGAAAGCACTTCAAAGACATCAGCATTACTTTAAAAAAACATATTTGGAAAATCTCAATTCACAATAACGAAAAGCTGCCAAATCATCAAATGCTTGCACTCTAATTGAGTGAACTTAAAGGACATAAGCTGTATTTAAACAAATATGCTAATAACAGATAAAAGTGTGCCAAACGGATAGTTTAAAAACAGTATTCTTCACAATAAAGACCAGAGACTAAGCTTAGCTGTCTCAACTTCTAAAAATTAAGATTAAGTGAAGGCTGCCGGTTCAGACAGCAGAGACTGCCCAAACTATCGTTTGTGGTGCAATTAACTGCATTTTAAAACCGTCTTCAAAGGTTTGGGGACTGCGGGGGTAGTCCCCCAAACGAAATGTTTCACTTTGAGACGATCAAAAAACCTAACTAAGTCAGTGTGCTTTTTCTTTCCCCCATGCGACTTTCACTTAAGATATAATTACTATTGTAATATCGACTGCTTAAAAATTGCAACGGGGAAAGCCTAAAATGTAGGACAACAGAGTAGAAACTGGTATCAAAACCTTGGGGAATATCTCCCCAGCACAAGTCCTGCCATTTTCTGCAGTGTATTCCAGCAGTAAAGTGCCATGTAAATCACTCGCAAGGAAAGGAATCCCCTTCCCCCATCAACTCAAGCCATACTAACAGCGGGGCGTGTGAAAATAAAGCCCTTAGGAGCTATTCCCCGGCCAGAGGCAGCCGGGCCGCCCTCGCCCGCCCGCTTCTACCCTGGGCAGCGGCCTGCGGGGCTCTGCGGGCTCCAAGGCCCCGGGCGCCACGCGGCAGGGCCCCGACCCCGCGGCCAGGGCACCGCTGGGCGCAGCCACGCCTGGCCGAGGCCCAGGGTCCCCCCAAGTCTTTGCCAAGGAGACGGAGGCTTCCTCCCGCCCGCCCCGGCGCCTGGTACCTCATGCTGTAGGCGCCGGCGCCCAGCTCCTGCCCAATGCCCGAGAGGCTGGCGTCGAAGTCGTGCACCAGCCCGGACTCGATCACCTCGTCCATCTTGAGCACCCAGGCCATCTTCCGGCCTCGCCGCCGCCCGGCGCGCAGCGCGGCCTCCGCGAGCGGGGCGAAGGGGCCGGAGCTCCGCGGGAGCGTCCTGGGGGAGGACGCGGGTGAAGCCT